GAAATTCAAAAATCGTTTAAAGGTTGCTGTATTTGTTGATGCATCTATCCCTCATCAGAAGTAAGGTTAAAACTTCATTACAAATGTCACATTGAGCAGTTTTTTCCTCAGCTTGGAACAGATGACAAGTGCAGGAATATGTATTGTCGGAGGTCGGCTGTGAAGGAATGTTAATTAAACATTTTAATTTTCATTAAGACAAGTTCATTTCCTTTAGTTGGCAAGGAAACGGTATTCAACGTTGTGCCACCAGCAACTGCGACGATTTATTCTGCGTAATTAATTAGGGTAATTACACGTACACATTCCTACAATACGATTTAAAAAGGTAATCATTTAACAGTAATGGGGTGATCGGAATTTAATGGTATATTTATCTACTCCCATGTCTCTTGTTTGGTTTGGGGTTGAAGCTGGAGCCGCAAATTTGTTTAATCTGTGGATTTTCGATATACAATATACTGACTGGTCATTTAATAAACTGTGACTACTGTATTTGACTTTATAACAACCTAAGGTCAACTGACATTTAAATTAGTTGATCTGGAAAAATTGAAAATAAAATCAAAATTATTGTACAATATGCTAAACGGAATGTTGAATTCGTTGAATGGTTAAGCTACAACATAAAGAGAGTGACGCTGTTAACATTATTAAACCCGATTACTTGCAAAAGAGTGAGGAAAAGGAAATGTACAAATAATTTTGTATCACAAATGCTGGACAATGAACAATTTTGAAATACCACGTGAGGAAGCTGCAGAAAATGCAGTTGTCTAACAAAGGTTTTGCCATGTGATAATTAGATTATTGATTTGCTGGAGCAGATAAAATATTTATGGAATAATGTCACGGATCCGGTCCTACAACGTGATTCTGATGTATTTTGCAGCAGTGAGATTGTGGTTGTCAACTACTGTTCTTTCTCAGGTTGACTGTGGAGATAATCCAAACCAAGTGAATGAGAAATATTTTGAATCAACCTGAACTTGAACGCGAAATATTTTGCTAATTGGAACGGAAAGTTTCAAACACCAGATGCGATCTTAACTTCGACCCTTAAGCTTCATGGCGGTGGCTTTAACGTTCATGGTTATGCGAGGTATTTAACAGCAAAAACGAGACTTATTATAGGATCGACCTGTTCTCTCGTGGAGCCGAATAGCTTGCATCAAGACTGCGACCTGTGGAGCCACATTGGAGGCTGAGAGATCGATGGGCCAGAGCTGGCAGAAGTATCGCAATTTTTCACAGAGATCATCACCCGGGATATCTCTGATACGCACGAGGGGAAAAAAAGAATAATTTTCGCAATGTGTCTGGAAGTGCTCTCAGGTGTTGCTGCACTCATTCATTACAAATGGTACCTCGGATTTTCCTTCGTTAGAGAACCAGCTCAGTGAGAGTCAGAAAGACAACTTACACCAGACTTCCCCTTTTTGTGTTTCGCTTCGAAAGCTATGAAACATCAATTATATATTATTTTACTTCTTGCTTGGGGGAAAGGGGTGAGGCAGAGAAGCATTGAACTCCAACCGAGATTTTGTTTTAAATCAGGCGAATACAGAAAACAATAATTGTTGAGCTAGGAAATGATCATAGGTTCTTAAATAACGGGGCCTGAAAGTGAGTGAACTTTAAAAGCTCTTTCTGTACATTGTAAAGAGCAGACACTGTAATATTACTAGGTTCGACTACAGCGTTAATAGGATGTTAACAATTAAAATGCGGAGAAAGATGGATTGGCTGTAATATTTAGCTAAATGGTATCTGGTGTCACTGATATTATACTAGCGTGTTATTATGGGAGCTATGCATAAAACAGGAAGCAAGGTGGCGAGGGTAATTAAGAAAAATCTCAGTGGGCAACTCCCTTCAAATGTTACGAAGGGCATCCGGCGCCAGAGAGTTTCAATGCGAAATCTGCATTGCAAAATCAGTATAATTCAATCATTATTTCTCAAGCTATGTCTCATGAATTAAGCAATCAAGCACTGATTAACAGATCTTACGGTAAACAAACCAGCGGAGTATAGGGTTGCATTGCGTGATTGATACTGACTGACATTTCTGAGCGAAATAATGTTTCCTGGTAAATAAACCGGGAGGTTTCAAGAAGACAGAGAAACAAAAACATCAAGCTCTAATGAGATCAGTTCGGTTCTGTTTTGCTAGACAAACTCATCTCAGCTGGAAAGTATATTTTTTAGAAATGAAAACGACATCAGATTGATGTATCTGAGAGAGGAATGATGGTGAATCTGCTGCTATTAAAAGTTCAGGCCTTCTTTCCTGAGACTGTCCTATACAACCAAGCAAACTGAAAGGACATTGTTTCATATGATTGAATCTTTGTCATTGTTTCGTCTCGGCGGTATTTCGGTGAAAAGATATTAATGCACATTTCATTTAAATCTGTGGAGTCGCGGCTCTCTCGGGAAGCTTGTTGCTAAGATCTCGGCGCAGTATGTCATAAATGCAGAAAAGCCTGGCGCATTGCTAAATAGTTTGCCAATAGATTGGAATTCAACTATGTGCAAATGAATGAAGGTGGAACAAGGTCTGTGTTGCTGTATTGTACTGTGTTAGTGACAGTGTAACCATGAAACAAGACAATGTAGGGCTGGTTAGCCCAAAACGACTCGCAAAGGTTGTCAACTGTCTCTGTCTTTGAGGCGGTGTATGTTTAATCATTAAGAGTGTCGCTAACGTGACTTACCCCCGCCCCCCACCTCTTGTAATCTTTTCCAGTTCGATTCCTCAGAGCCACCTAATCCTCAAACTTGTTGTCATTACTTATTTATTGATTGCTTGGCATTTGGGTGTAATTGAGCAAGGCGGCTCTAGCCTGCGGGGGCACCGGCGCTAGATGAGCAATTAAATCAGATTAAGGCAGTCTTTAAAGAGGCGACTGGCATGATTGATAACCGCGAACACATTCTTAAATAGAACTGCTACATCAAAAGAAACGCTTAAACACAGGGCTCTAGGAGAGTTCCACCAGCATGAATCAAATCATGTAAAAAAAACTTCGGCAGGAGTTTGCCTCGAAATACCTTCCGCCCTATCGTCTTTTAATATTAAAAATCCACAGGAGTGGCAGACACTGTATTAATTAGTGCATCCACCGTGAAAACTGGGTTTAAACCAGAATTCTCTTTCCTTGTATTTGCTCAGTCCCAGTAATTAAACATTCTTAATTGGTGTGTTGCCTGTGGAATAGTGCAAAGTTAAAATAATGCTTTTCATATTACACAGTAATTATAAGAGTAGAGCCCTCTTAAAGCAATAGACAAAATCAAAGAAAGCATAAAAAGGCCTTTCAAGAGTTACAGGAACCTAATAAAGTATGTCTGTATGGTGCTCTACTTTGCCCCCAGCTACAGCCACAGTGGAGCCAAGGCAATCAGCTCGAATAAAATAATAGCATTCCTTTTCTCATGCAATTCCACGCTCCCTGTGCAAACTAAAATTATTTTCTCAATTTTCTAAATTATGAGGTGTGACTTCAAAGGTAATCCACTCCACTGACAGATGGCACCGGGTGTTGTTTATATCACTTTGCAAAACATATTTTCTTATTAGTTTACCATCAAAGAGCTTTGATGTTTGAATAATTTTAATTATCGCAACAAAAGCTTTTGCTTTACTTCTACTATCAGGCTCTTTTTTGACTATTTTAAGATGAAGTTAATTTAGAAACTTTTCTAACTACATTAATGCATTATTCATTTGATTAGTGTTGTCCAAACCAGGCATGACCCTCCTTCCAATGATGTTTGTGAAGGTATTTCTACTCGTTTGCTAAACTATCCACATTAGAAGTTAACCTAATTAGCTAAACATGTCAAAATGAACATTAAAATATTCTTATAAACTGCATATGGGTGTGTATGTCAACTGTACAATAACTATAAAAAAAAGCCCTGAATTCAAGAGTAATGTGCCATTTGGCATTGATTTTCTTTGTGTTTTGTTCCAGCATATAAATTCTATTGATCGTCCCCATAAAAAAAATACAATTGCTTGTAATAATGCATTGTAAACTCCAAAAGAATGGCTTGACTATTCCAATAGACTGGATGCATTGATTTGTTTGGATTTGTACTATATTAAAATCTGACCACCATAATTAAAACACTGCAGAATCATCCTACTTTTGTGTGATTAGTTCATTAATGAGAAATTAGAAGTTTTATCAGTGTTGACCTATTGTATGGAAGAAGTCTCACATTGCAGAAAGAATTGGAATCTGTTGCTCATTTTAAAATGCACAATTGACTCACCTGAGGTCACAGCACATGTAAAGCAAGATGGACGTGAAGTGATTTTCTTTTCAAAACTTTAACTGGCTATAAATATTCTATTCAAGGCAAACGGTGAAAAATGGTGTAGAGGTCGAAATCACAAGTTCAAGAGTACTATGCATGTCCACTTACATAGGATATGGAGTAGTATCCAAGATGTGATCTCATCAGGTTTTCATTATGTTGTTAGCTATCGGTTTCATTAATCTAGTCAGATTCGATTCACATTGAATCAAGACAACTTTGAAGTGTAAACCATGCACTATATCATCTTCAAACATGGAAGTCAAGGAGGGGAAATGGCATTTTCAACGTGACAACAGCTAATATATATTGTAGCTTTAGCTGGTCAAGCAAAAAGTGACACGAAGTTTGTCGTGTATTTTATGAAAAATACTAGAGAATGAGATTAGAAAAGACGTGAAATATTTAATTAACTAGATTTCTAAACTGCTCTTCTGTACAAAATAGTAAACATTTATCTTAATGTTCCAACGAGTAAGCCGCCCAGACGATTCACCTGGAAAGAATTGTTTCCAATCCAGTTAGGTAAGTATATTATCTTAAACAGGAATCAGCTTTCGATAGATACGTTTGTAATGCATTGTTCCCATGTGTTTATTTTCAGCTTCACTTACGTTTGATTTCGGTGCCAGCAATTCAATAATGAAAACTAAATGGACCAGTATCACGTAATATTCAACAATTATTTTAATTTATTCACAAATATAAGGTATAAGAAATAATAAATCTCCATATATATAAAATAGTACATAATATCCCTTTCAAAGGGACAGCGATCAAAACAAATGTTAAAAGCGCTGGCATCGTTTCAAATATATTTGAAAGTTTGAGTCTTCTATGATTGTGCTTTTTTTTCAAGATAAATGGTACATGCTGTATCCGATAGGAGTGGCATAAAGTCCTACAGGGGGGACTGGGAGCACAGGTCTGTGGAAAGGATAAGTGTGTCCATAAAGTGAAGCTCCGTGCATTGGGGAATTCATAGGAAAAGTCAGACTCAACCCCGGGGGTAGTATAGGCTTCGCTGCCATTTTGAACTTTTCCAGTTCGGCCTCTTGCAGTCTCTTTGCTTTGGCCCTGCGATTTTGAAACCAGATTTTAACCTGGGTTTCTGTGAGGTTGAGGGAGCTGGAGAACTCTGCTCTCTCCGCGATGGACAGGTACTGTTTCTGCCGGAATTTGCGCTCCAGAGCCAGGAGCTGCGAGGTGGTGAAGGGCGTCCTGGGTTTCCTGTTGGTTTTGTGCTTTCTCAGAGTGCAAGAAGTGGGGCTCAAATGTCCTAGTAAAAACGAATGAAGGACTGATCAATACTTTATATCCACAGTGGAGTTTATAAAACGGATAGCATACTTTATTTGAACAAATATTATCAACAGTAACAATTATCCTTCAATACTTTCCACCCGCAATGTTCTTTGAAATATTTCGTAGAAAAGCACTATCGAGATTTTTTACCTGACAACTGCAGAACTGAACTGTGGCTCATTTCATTAGATATGTACTATGATTTGGCGAAAGTGGATAGATTTCCCACTAAGTGTTAAAACAGTCACCAACAGCGAAATGCTTGTCATAACACTGTCGAAATTAGGAGTGTACTTCAATACATTAACGTTACCTACCCTTTCAAAAGCTGATTTGACTGTCAACGAGTTTAGTTACAGGAGTCGGCAGCCCGAACATTTGAAAAGCAAGGCATACAGCTCGTAGGACCCCCAAGTTGAGAAAAATCACAAGACGTGAGCAATTGCGTCGTTAGTTTTCTAATATGCTGAATCGCAGTGTCAGAGAGAGTAGCCCTCACCTCGAGAGTGGAACCAAAGGTCTCTTACCCCTTATTTATAAAGCATCACACGTGTCGAAAACATTTATAATTGAAATTAATAGACTGACGGCGTGGATCAGGCAAAGAAAATAGAAACAAACTCACTGTTTGGAGGAGGCGAGTAACTGGAATTTTTCACCCACGGCACACATTCTTCTTCCTTGCAGTTTTCGGATTTCACTGGCGAGCCGTCGTAAGTTTTTATAAAACCTTCCAGTGGGCAGGGAGAGTCGATGGGACTTTGCGACTCCCTGGCCACCGATTTGGAGGGGAGCTTCTGCGATGTGCTGCCGCCTGCCCCATCCAAAGGGGGGAAGATGCCTCGGTGCGGCTTCCGATCGGACATCAACGCTTCAACACTGAACGGGAGGCTCGACACTGGCACTTTATGTTCGCTCAAAGCAATTTCCGCAGCCCTTTGGAGCTCCGGGTCAGAGACGCTGTTATCCTTCAGAGTTAAACCTTGTGGCGAAGCCATCATGAGGAACAATAAAAAGGCATGAAAAAAACAGTTTCGACGCTGGAGAAAGTGATCCTTTACCAAACTAAGCAACTTCCACAACTAAAGGGTCAGAGTGGCAAGGGACTGTAGTAAAGGTTGCAAAACTTTACGGGGGGGGGGAAGCGAAACTTTCCACCAATCAGAGACTTACGTCCGGGAGGTGCTGAAATCCTTACGAGGGGATTGGTTGCCGGCAGTGCCAATAGCAGTAAATGATGGTTTGAAATAAATGAGGCTTTAATCAGATGGGCCACTCGCTGGGATGGGTTAGTGATAGCTGCGGGGCTCTAATCTCGTTGTAAACATGCAGCTAATTAAGTGAAAAGAGAAGACAGCCGTCACTTTCCAAGCTCCCCCCTTTCCTCCCTCCCCCAGGAAAAAAAAAGGACGGACGAGAGCAAATGAAAAGTGACCCCCGAGAAATAAAACGTTTGGTGGGGGGAAGCCCTAAACGTGGGGTAGGAGTGGATGCAATGCTTGGTTCTTTGTGCCTGAAGCCACCTGTTCTGAGAACTGTCTGCCTTGCTAATTGCATGGATAAACAGTCTGTCACGATTAGTCAGCGGGGTGAACAGTCAGACAACTGAGGTTGTTTGTAGGCGCCAGGATCGGCGACATCAAAGGCGATCTCCCCTGGGCAACGCGGTGGAAAGTTTGGCCGGCTCCAGGAGCGACCCGCCCCCGCCGAAACACGCCCCAAACCCCCGGGCAGAGCTGATTCCAGAGCCCGTCCCCAGCTTTGAAACCAAGGATGGGAAAAGAAAGCGAGCGAAAAAAAACGAACACAGCGTAACCGCTTGTAAAACCACCAGTTTGCCAGTAGGGTTTGAAATGAACATCCTGTACGTTAAATGCATGCCGTTAAATGCATTCCGATACAGCGTTCATTAGTACAGTAAAGCATGTAATGGCAGCATGTCACTTTTTTTTCAAAACGATGTTAATTAGTTAAGAGCACTAGTAAAGGTTCCAAGGAATTGCAGCTATAAAACAAAAATATATTCATATTTAGTGCTTATAAACTGGTGTGCGGATGCACGTTGCACGGTTCGTGGAACGGAAAGCAGAATAAGACTTTAAATGTTATTCATTCTGTTAACATTTACAAAATAAAGGTAAAGGTAATTACAGATGGGATCTGTAATAGCGCCTTATATATTCAAAACTGTGGGTTACAGTGAGTTAATCTCGTCCTGTTGGAGCCCTGGTACAGTTTGTATACAGGTGCTTTTCAGGTGACCTGTAATGGGGATGAGTGCACGGAGCCAATTTTTTATAGCGAATTTCGCCACTGTTGCTATACATACGTTTCCGGTTCTATTTATTGTCCACTAGACAGCAACGAGATAGGACTTTGGTGATAATGTTTTTATCGTTTCAAGGCTGAAGGAGGGGTGATATATAGATTAAAAAAAAGAGACAACCCGTAGATCATCTATTAAATCTCACTCGAGAAGTAACTTACGAATCAGGGTCGAATAGGGCAGTCATTTAAAGAGCCCCTAACCTGCTTCTCATCTTCATATATTTTTGATCACATAATCCGAGTTGTACGGCGCATATTTTGATTGCAATTGATTATTTTGCCATATTGCACTATCTAAATCGGAATGACAATTATTTGCTCAACGTATATAAGTTCCAATTTTCCTGTAAGCCTCATTGCCACAGTTATGGTAACACTGTTTACGTTCCGAATATTTACATATTTAGAAACAGAAGTTACGGAACAAATTTCTGTTTTTGGTGAAATGGACAACATTTTCGATACATTTTTAAATGTATTCCTCGATAAATGTGAATCATGCCAAATAAATGACTGTTAAAGCAAAGGGATGACTTGATTTCCAACGATGCAGACGCAGGGAAGACTGACACTCCAACCGGGTTCGGGCATTTATTTATAAGTGTTAAACCGCCGTGGCTTTCTCAAAGTCTGATACTTTCAGCGTCGCTCAGGCCAAATGATGTCTTCAGAGCCCAGTGGAATTATTATTGTCACACTCAGAACTCATTTCGTAATCTTTTCCCACAGGTCTCTTTAAACCTGTTTCACTTCTTGCCCACATCCGATGTTTACTTTTACGCTGCAAGCAACAGGGTTGTTCTATCCGAGGTGCGCTTTAACGGTTTAAACTAAAGTATCTGAGTTCATTTACACGTAGATTTCTTGTGGGGTTTTTTAACCGGATTGTGCAAGTCCAATCGTTCTATAATTTAGTAGGTTTAAAGTGTACCAAACTGTTCCTTTAAACCATAAAGCAAATTTTGATTGATGATATGAAAATAACTATCAATCCGTGTTGAGTAGGATTCCCGCTGATCATTTAAAGGGCCACATCTTTACTTATGTGTTGGAGTATAAGTAAAGCAGGTTTCTTGCTTTTCGTTTTTAATATCACTACTTTTGTGAAAATTTAGTCGATTGTTTTATTCATACCTCACTCTTAACAATTGAGGTACTTGACATTTTAGAAACCTTTATGAGCAACAGTAGTCCCTAACAGTGACGTCGAGTTGATAAAGGCTTAAGCAGAGACTTCATAGTTATTCCCTTCGTGTGTTTAGAATTTTAAACTGCACAGTTAAAAGTTGTGCAAAAAATCAAAATTATCAGCAAATATGAGATTAGTAATTTGTAAATAACATCACTCGAAATCCTTTCTTATTGTACAAGAATAAAGAACTGGGGGGAGTATGTTGTTTTCTTAAATATTTAACAACACGAACAAACAGTTTGTTGACAAGAAAATAATTATAAAAATCAGGAATTGAAATGATAGGTGCACAGCTACAGAAGATGATACTATATTTATTTCATTTTACGCAGCGATATTCCTTCAGTTCCCAAACAGTACTTAACAACGACATAGTTTGCAGAACGGTGAGTTTTCATGTCTGCAGTTATTTAAAAAGATACTTTCAGTCTGTCTCCATTTGTGTTTTAGTGCCCTGTAGGATGGCGTATGACATTTGGGTACGTTTCAAATAATTTCAGTGTCAACATTACACACCGCTTAGTTTATTTGAAAACTTAAAACTGATGTAGCAAGTTCTCGATCAGCGCGCGTTGAATTCAACTGAAATAGTAAAAATATCCAAATGACTTCATCAAAAGCTATATTTGCAGGTGATCAGGGTAACTAAAATCCGTTAATATTATATTGAAACGCTAAATTATTGGAAAATTAAACAAGTTGTTCCTTTATGAAGGATACACATGCAATTTTGTGTATGCAATACCCTAAATATTATATACCCTAAACCTACTTCAATAAAGCTGAAATTAAAATATTCCATTGTTCCAAGTAAACATTTGTCTTATTGTGAGAATAGGTGGATTTATGCTTTCTAATATAAAAAAACTTTTGTGTTTACAATTACAAACATTGATACAGAAATAATCTTGAGGTGCTAATGGTTAAATATTATCCCTTTCATCTGTGCTATCTACATAATTAACTGCACTGATAATATTAACACTATTATACTGCAAATAGCATTCAAACTTTAAACACACAATTATGTAAATATAGATTTTTAAAATCATATTCAAGAATAAACTTGGGCTCTTATACAGGTAATTGAAGTAGTTTAATCAAAACTGTGAGCTGTTTGAATATATCTAAATCAGTAATTTTGACTATTGTCATTTTCATATGTGTGAACTTGACTGCTTCAACACTTTGATTCCTTTTTCACCAAGATGTTTAGTAAACATTTCAATTACAGACCCTAACAGTAGCTTGGCTACTGTAAGAGGTATGGTAACAATCTTTTCACAGAATGCAGTCATTAAAAAGAGCAAAAGTTACAAGGGAAAATACCAGCCAAAATTAAGGGATGAATATAATCAAAAAGTTGACTGCTTTTTTCCAGCATCATATAATTTTTAGGTTTTGTTAAGAATTACATTCTTTAATTAAAACCAAATAGTCACAGATGCATCTTAAATTTTAGGTCTTAGTGATAATTAAGTTTAAATGCTTTTTGAGGTGATTACTCTCTCCTGCAATTTTAAATTGATTTAGAAAAGCTAGAATGCCAGAATTACATTGAAACTATGCCTTATGTTTCGAGATATTTGGTCGTACATCCCTTCAGATCTAGGGAACTAAACAGGTAAGAAGCTTATGTCATAATCAACCACTCTAAAATAGATTTTATTTTGGGTGGTTTGGTAAATGAGAAGGAGGATGCTGCTAAGGTCAATGAATTCTTCTGATCTTAAATTGAGTCCACTGTTAAGCAGCTTTGGAAAGTATGTGAGATTAAAGAATGACAGTGACTTGCTCTGCCATTATCTAGAAAAATGGACTGACAATAAAACTTATACTGATCTTTACAGTGTTCTATAATTGTTTAATATTTAACCATGCTTTTCTAAATGGCCTGTTTTTAAATATCACCTTATCACATCTCTCAAAACCTGACTACTTGTATGCGAAGCATTTTGAAGCACAATAACTGATTTAGGCAAATATGGAAGCCATTTAGCATACAACATGATCTCACAAACATTAATAAATCAAACCTTGATTTAAATTAAACACAGAAATACTCTGCAGGTCAGGCAATCTATGTGGAGAGAGAAATACTTAAGTTAGCATTTCAGGCTCTCATGATAATTCATAATCTTGCTATGTTAGATCTATTCTCACTCCAGAATTGTTGCCAAACCTGGTGAGTATTTTCAGCATTTTCTGTTTTTATTTCTGATTTCCAGCTTTGATTTTATGTTATTTTGGACAAGCTAATTTACTTGTGATGGTACTGGTTGAGGAGCAAACATTCACCAGAGTATTCAGAATGTTTCCTGCTCTTCTGAGCACAATGTCCACTTGAAATTTTGGAATAAATCAGTTTTAAATTGCCTCCAAAGAGCAGTGCCCGCACTGTCCCATTATGGATTTGAGGTGATTCAGAAGCAAGAATGTCACTAAATGAATAAATTCAAGAAATCCAGATATTATTTTTTGCAAGTTCCTTGAGCGGATAGGGAACCTGGCTTCAAATGCCAATTAAGTATCGTGCTGTTGAGTACCAAAATAAATTTGTGCATGAGATTGTACTTTTTGCTAGTTAGTGTGGAACTAGATTTTAAAAAGATACAGGAGTTGATACATACTGAATTTCTAATGCTATTGGATTAATAGTTGTATCATTGT